AGTTCTGTAGAATGAAGAGTGGAAGGAGGTGGATCTACTGAAAAAAAAGAGGACTGTGATGAGGGAGGAGATGGCGCACGGTGGAATTCAACCAGAAGAGCGGTGATGCAGCACAAGAATGCAAATTTTGGAGGAGTGGAGCTGGCAGCGGGCCAACATGTCCATGCTAATGCGAACCTGAGATAAGTTTGGGAGAGCCGTCGTCGTCGTGCAGCTGTGCATCTTGATATCGCGCGCACTGACCACCAAGCAAAGCCCCATGCCTTTGCATTGGCGTGCGCCAATGGCGTGGGGGAGGAAGCATGGCTGCTAGGGGAGACAAAGAGGCGGAGGTGGCGAGGCGGCATGCTGCGCAGAGCCATTCCTGACCTCGTCACCGGGGACACGCCATGGCTGGGGATGCGACATTGCGCCGCCGCCGCCGCCGAGGCAGGTGCTGGCATGGTCTAGGCCGACACGCTGCGGAGGAGGGCCGTGGCACGTGGGGGCCAGAGCGTCGACCTGTAGGCCGGCGAGACACAAAAGGCGAGGCGAGGAGTGGAGTAGGCAGGAAGAAGTCGGAGCGGGTGAAGATGGGTATGGCGGCGGCGTGTGCCGGGAGCGGAGGAGGCGAGGCGACGGAGGGGGCAAGGATGGGGAGAATACGTGGAGAGGCACCGTGCAGCCAATTTATTTTTTTCGGTCAAAGCGGCGTGGACCCGTTTACAACGCCGTAGGCGGAGGCCAAGACGAGAACCGGCGAAGCCCGTGGATTGACCAAGCTTTTACCGGCACTCAGCAGTCACGGATGACAGGTGTGATGCAGGCACTGAAAGTTTACACGTGGATGCCCTGGCCATCGTCCAATTTATCCCTCGTCGAAGATCTACTAATTACATGGTACTCATTTTGTGGGGCACACGTACGTAGTATATGATATGATGGCGATGCTACATGTATGCGTGAGCATCTAACTAAGTTTGTGGCGCGTGGAGACGCGCGCCTCCGAGGATGGGCGTGACGGCTCGAGGCGGAACACGCACAAAGCATCGACACCTTGGGCATTTCAGATCTGGGCCCTTGAATCATGAGAGAGGGAAAGGAGGCGCACACGCACGAGCTCCCCCGGCGGCCATGGATGGTGGGCCTGAGAGCATGTCCATCCCGATCGGTAGCAGGAAGCGAGCCCGCAAGGCAGCGGCGAGCAGAGAGGTGGGGACTGGTTGAGCAGAAGACGTGGAGGATACGGGCTGGATCCACCGTATGTGAACAGCAGCAGGATCGCTTTACCATATGTGAACAGTAGCATGATCGCTGTGGGAGCGCGGATGCTAGGAGCTTTATGGAGTTTAACTAATCCATCCGTCGTCGGTTGGCTGGGCATAGTTAAACGATGATTGTTTACGGGTAACGTCTCCACTATAGATGTCCAAATGGGCCAGGCACGATGGGCCGGCACGGGCCCGGCCCGAAAAAGCACGGCACTAACACGGCACGGGCACGAGGCCTATAGTGCCAGTGCCGGCACGGGCACGATGTAGGGCCGTGCCTGGGCCGTAGGTTCGGCCCGCAGTGCCGGCATGGGCACGGCACGGTTAATGGGCCAGTATGATATGGCCCGATCTTTTCTAGCCATTGGATGATCTCAGGATGTGTTCTAGCCGTTGGATGAGAGTATATAAGCACATCCAAACCCTAGCTCAGATATTTCCCAACACTCCACCAGCCAGCATGTCCAGCAACGGCTCCTCCTCCCAATCCCGTCTTCTCCACGACCGCCAGATCCTCGAGGTCGTGTCCCGCTCCTCTTCCTCCTCCTATCTCCTCGCGTCTCGGCCCTGGCGACTTCCTCGGCGTGGTTGCGTGGGGGAGCTGGCCGGGCGCGGCAATAGCGACGCGACGATGCGGCGGCGAGACAGCCTCGACTAGGCGGTGTGGCGGCCACAAGTGCAAGACGCGGCGGCGGCGCGACGGCCTCTCTCTATCCATCTCATGGCGCGGATCCGGTGAGGTGGAGTCTGCTGGTGGTGGATCCGGCGGGGAGGAGCTCTCCGATGGCGGATCCGGCGAGGAGGAGCTCTCCGGTGGCGGATCCAGCGAGAAGGAGTCCGTTGGTGGTGGATCCGACAAGCACGGCCTGCCCGCGCGCCGCCGATCCACGCGGGAGGAGCTCTCGATGGCAGATCCGGCGAGGAGGAGTCTGCTGGTGGCGGATCCGGCAAGCACGAGCCCGTCGGCGGATCTGGCGCGGAGCAGTCTGCTGGCGGCGGATCTGGCGCGGAGAAGTCTACTGGCGGCGGATCCGGCGCAGAGGAGTTCGCTGGCGATGGATCCAGCCAGCACGAGCACGCCGGCGGATCCGGCGGGGAGGATGCGGGCTCAACGCGGCTCCAACGCACGAGCGGATGCGCGTGACACGACGGCGCAGCCCCAGCAAGCGGCGGCACTGCTGGGCCGCCGTACCTAGTGACGCGCCACGGCACGGCTAAGACCTGATAGTGTCGTACCTGGGCCGGCACCTCGGCACGGCGGCACTAACAGGCATGGCACGGCTAGTCTACCGTGCCGCGTAGTGCCGTGCTTGGCCGTGCCATGCCTGGCCGTGCCCGTGCTAGTGCCGTGTCGGGCGGCCCGTTTGGCCAGCTATAGTCTCCACGTTAGTTTGGCGACTTGTTGGACGGAGGCCGAAAAGCTCGGCAAACTGTACTCGTTGTGTGTTCATGGCTTCTTTTTTATATATGTTTGTGATGGTGACAGCAGAGAGTAAAGGCTCACCCAGTCCTGCTACCCACCGCATCTGCCACCCACCGGACGCTTTGAATGCATGCGGGGCAACCGGCCCAGAGTCGGAGGCAGTGCATCCGCAGCCACGTCCGTCGAACAGCGAGTGACGTGCCGTTCGCACGGCAGGCTGCGCTGCCGCACGGACGTGACTAATGGCGATTGAGTTGCCAGGCGTGCTAGCAGCTAGGAGTAGCTAGCATAGGCTACCATACGCTGCTACTACTAAGGGGTGATTGGTTGCTTAAGGGTCAGCGAGCCGAGATGGAGTGACTGTCCAGGCTCTTTCTATGCACTTTGCTGTGTTTTGTTGTTTTTGTTGTTGGTCCAGTACGAAATGAGATCGTGTTTAGTTGCACGCATGCATCAAAGTTTTGAGTGTCTGACACATGAGCCCCTGCACCATGCGTGTATGAAGCCATCCCAGCTCGCTAGGGAAGGTGAAATTGAGAAGACGGAGGCGTGCGGGATAGAGAGGGGCAGATTAATGGAACGAAGCAGGCAAAACGTGCGAGGAGAGGAACCAAACATGGCCACAGTGCACCACTTGGTACCGGATGGGGCTTCGGACGGCGCGAGCAGGACAACCAATCACCCCCTAAGTGATCGAGATGGATTCGAAACGATTCGCTCGCTTCCCCTTCTCCTTCCTCCGCTTGCTCCGTGAGTCCATGGGACGCAGTGCCGCACCGGTCGACGAGGTGAAGTCCTCGGTGGATGGAGACATGCGGTACTGGCGCACGCTTTAAATGCATGCTCGGCGCCAGAATACATGGCGCCGAGCTCGGCGCTAAGATCTGCGGTGCCGAGCTTAGCGCCATGTATTCTGGTGCCGAGGTACCGGCCACGTCAACGCCACCTAGGATTTCCTGCAGTGCACGGCCATGCATCTCGACGTCAAGATCTGTGGCGCCGAGACGTGTTACTCGGCGCCAGGACTCATGGCGCCGACCCATAGGGTCCAAAGATAAGTTTAAGTCTCCTATGGAGCTAAACGTAAATTTTGTTTGGAAAAAGGGCCAAATAGTAAAAAATACGGGCGGGTGAGTCCTGCTCGTTGCTCGTCACGTCCTGCGTGCTCGCCGCGTTCTTCATCGTCTGGGAGGGTCTCGCCGTGTTCTTCATCGTCTGGGAGGGTCCTGCGTGCTCGCCGTGTTCTTCATCATCTGGGAGGCGCGTGCCTTCGCTGCCTTGGCCGCAGTGTTCGTCGCCGGCGTCACCTGGTGCCTGAGCGTCGTCGCGGTCGTGCTGCCGGCACGGCGTTTCCCACCGCGCGCGCCTGGAAGATCTTCGCGGCGGCGAGATGGTGCGGAGCCTGCCCGAGTGCTGGCACGTGTTCCACGTCGGCTACAGATGCACGTGACGTGCCCGCTCTGCAGGTCTGATCTCTTGCCACGGCGACGGGTTACGACGGCCGCGCCGGTAGGATGCGCGACCGCCCGTGCCGCAGTGGCGGTCGGGCCGCGTGCAGGTGCCGCGACACTCCGTCGCGCTGCGGTCGTCCACGCTCGGGATGCTCAGCCTCGATCTGTCCATGCACGCGGCGTTCAAAGGCGAGCTCCGCGTCGCGCTCGGCGATGACGGAGGCGGCTGCCTGCCGCCACTGCTCCCGCAGGTGTTCGCGGACGGCCGGCACCTGGGCGGCGCCGAGGAGGTCTGCCGCCTGCACGAGGCCAGGGAGCTGGTGTCGGCCCTCGATGCCTGCGACGCTGTGCCATGCACCACCAAAAAATCGTGGGCTGTTCTGCCCGCCGTCGCGAGCAAGGCTATCCAAGACAGCGTGGGTCGGGTTGGGTTGCGTCTAAGCTAATTTGGAATGGGGTGGGTTGGAAATAAAAAATAATTAATTAGATATGGAATAGGGTGGAAACGGGTTGGGATCTCACCCATTAGCAGGGGTACGTGCACGGGCGCCCAGGCCACGTGCATTCCAAACTTGCATGTTTTCACAATTCATTTGAATACCAACTGCGCGACAGCAACGTGGGCAGCGAGGCTAAGCAGAAGCCTCCTATATCACTGATAATGCAATGTCAACTCTCCACCCACCAAGTATACCACGTTCTTGATCGCGTGTCGATCATTGCACTGAGCTAGTAGATTCCAACAGGCAAAAAAAACGAGCTACTGACACTGCCGCACCCGGCCGGCTTGCCTATATATAGGCGCACTCGACAGCTCAATTGTATTCACAGGAAACACAGCTTAGGACTGAGAGGCGCAGCTCAATCTCGAGCGATATGGTGAAGGGAAGCAAGGGCCACGAGCTGGAGGCCGACGTCCCGGCCTCCGAGCTGTGGAAGATCTACGGCACGCTCCGCTTCGTGGAGCTGGTGCACGAGCTGCTCCCGCAGGTCCTCCACCAGGTCGAGGTCGTCAGGGGCGACGGCAGCGTCGGCTCCGTCATCAAGGTGACGTTCCCTCCAGGTGAGGCCATGCATCTTTGAAACAAATAAAACCACCCCGGCCCTGAATCTCGCCATCCATAAATCTTGGTGGCGTACATCGACGGACACGCTAGCTAACATGCCGATAAAAACTGTGTTTGCCATGCATGCACTTGCCAGGGAACCCTGGCGTGCAGACCTACAGCGAGGAGTTCGTCAAAATCGACAACGAGAATCGCGTCAAGGAGGCGGCGGTCATCGAAGGTGACCTTCTGAGCCTCGGCTTCATCACGTACGTGACCCGTTTCCAGATCATCGAGAAGGGTCCCAGCTCTTCGGTGATTACATCGACGGTCGAGTACGAGTACCACGACGGGCGCCCTGAGCTCGAAGCGGCGGCTTCCACTGCACCCTTGGCTGCGGCTGCTGAGAGACTTGTCCAGTATGTCAAGGAGCAGATGACGACTGCCCAGGCAACCGCCTGAAACGAAAATACTCAGAACTGCGGCTAGCACGGTTTCTGAGGACGAATAAAATGGATGTGTGTGATTCGGGTACTGTAAAACTGAGCATGCTGTTACCATGCCTACATGCTGCAAGATCTATCATTTGTGTGTGTTGTCTGGTACTACTTCGGATTGAATAACGGGAAATTTTACAATTTTTCGTCATTCATATCACTTGAGTGACACTTTTCGTTTATACCACCAAACCATATCATTGGCACACTCTCTGAAGAAAAAGAAAAAAAAGATCCAGCTAACATCATGGAACAGACTATCAGGTAATCACTATTCAATGTAATCCCTATAGAAATTTATATATGAAAAATTATAGAACTAATGACACCAGCCTAACCTGATAGATGTAGATTATTATGTGCTACCTCTTGCTTCTCTGTTGCCGCTGGTTCCGTCCATTTTCTTTAGGCTGTGTACCAGAATTTCATGCTGTGCTCAGGCCTGATCCAAAGAATCCCATGTGTTCTCAGGCTCGGAGCATAGATATGGTTAGGTCTTGGAGAATAGAAAGCTTAAGTTGTTCTGGCTGTTTCTTTGCTCGACTAGATGATGATAATGATAGAAGTGAAATGCTGGATAAGAATAGACAGGTGAAAGGGAAATTTGCTTCCTGCTCATGGTTGTCTGTTTTATAATTTTCTTTGATAACTAGTATATCATTGCTCACAGCTCCAACAGGGCTTGCATGATTATGAGATTTATGTGATTCTTGCAGTTAACCCAAGGTGTTCCATGCAAAACTAAAGGTCACTACATGTGATATATAAAACTGCAGTACTTTTATGCATAGTTCATAAAATATTTACTGCTACAACATGTCTAACAATTGTTATGTGCATTTTGTTATGCAGGAGGATCATGAGGCAGAAGAACATGCACCATCATCTGTCTCTTTGAGGGTGTAAAATGCATAACAAATCAGTTTGATGTTAAAATAACCATAAATTTTTGAAAACCCAAATCCCTTAGATTTCCTTTGACCAGCTTTGGCGAAGCATGGTTCAGCTTGCCTCATTATTTTCCTGCTCATTTTCCCACTTTTTTGTAGCAATTCATCAGTTCATCCCTTTGCTTTTCTCCATAATTTATTTGAACAAATTGCTACTCCAAGCCAAAAAAATAAATAAAGAAATAAGTAATATTGGAAAACGGCGGACTCCCAAAAGGCTTGACATTTTAGCATCCAAAATTTGTCCCAAAAAACTTGTTGGTTTAGCTTACTAAACAAGGAACATTAGTCATTAGCCCTGTTTAGGACAAACAATACATAGTTCACTTGGAAATCCTGAAGACTCACAAGCACATACTATTTTTGATTCAGACATTCCTACATGAACCAAGAAGCAAGGCGTACCAGTACCACTATTACCAGAAGAGCAAATACTATTTTTGATTCGAACTTCCTACATGCACCAATCAGAGCGTACCACTATTACTTGCCAAAGAGCAAGTTCATTATGCCGTCGAACACTTGCCCCCGCTTCACAGTGCCGCCACGCACGGCCTCCTCGTCTGGCACGAACCCCTTCCCCTCCATCGTCTCTAGCAGCGCTTTCCCCTCTTCCACTTTCCCCATCCTCAGATACGCCTCAAACGCGGCCAGATACGTCGCCACATTCGGCCGCATCCCGCGGTCGAGCATCTCCACTAGGTACTTGCCGGCTTCCGCACACCGGTCGCTGGCCGCGAGCCCCCTGACAAGCACGGCCAGCGTGTACGCGTTGGGCATGACGCCGGACGCGAGCATGCGGTCGTAGGTGCGCACGGCGTCGCGCCAGTGCGCAGGGCCGGCGTTGGCATAGGCCTCGAGGACGGCGGTGTGGGCGACGACGTCGGGCATGGCGCCCTTGTCCTTAATGACGGCGAAGAGCGCGAGAGCTTCGTGGGTGAGCCCGTCCTTGGACAATCCGTCGAACATCTTGATGGCGTAATCGGTGAGGCCCTCTTTCCGCATCCTGTGGAAGATCTCCTGTAGGTTGGTGGGGTCGGACGGCTCGGCAACGGCGGGATTCTTGCTGAAGGGGTCGTAGTAGGGGGGAGGTAATTCATCCTTCTTCGCCGTGGACGGGGGTGGATGTGAGGAGCTGTCAGCGTCGTCGTCGGACCAGTCGAAGGCAACTGGTGAGTTGGTGTTGGAGCTCCGGTAGGGAGGTGGGGAAGTGGTGGAGAGGAGACGGCTGGTGTTGGAAACGGAGATGGAGGAAACCCCACGCAGTAGGCGGCAAACGGCGGCGGCGGCGGCCATTGGAGGGGGGGGATACCGTGACAAGGGCTGAAGTACTGAAGTCACTAGTCAGTACGCGCAGTCTGGGTGGTGTTATACGGTATCAAACAAAGAGGTAAATTTTCATTTTTTTTGAAATACTGAAGAGAGGTAAATTAAACCATTTGTGTTTGTCCAACTCGAAAACCGGTTCCTCAGGACATACTCGCTCAGTCAAAAAAATAGACATAACATATTCTCATTCTTGAAAGAGTTAAAATAAATTCAAACTTGACCAATCCATAAAACATACACCCTCCGTTTCAAATTATAATTCGTTTGACTACTCGTTTTATTCTAAAATTTTAAGCAAACATAGTCAAATTTAAGTCATTCTTGAAGAATTTTTGTTAATAAAGTAAACCACAGCAAAAGAAGTGATATTTTGCACAAATTTTGAATAAGACGAGTGGTCAAACTTGAGGTCAAAAAAGTCAAATGAATTATAATTTGGAACGGAATATTATTAGTTGCCGTTTCGATCCCTTTATTTTGGAGGAATTAAAATCTACATAATGGATTATGTTATTTAGCTTAGAATTTGACATTCCATAACTTTTCTAAGCCCACAAATAAGCTGATCTTATCTCAAATTCATAGGGTGGAAGATGAAAATGGATTCTATAGATCACTATGGTATAATTCTATTCTCCAACTTATAGCACACTCTTCAACTCACTATCCAACAGTAGAAATTCAACATATAAGTATGTCCCTTGTATGCCTAACAATAAATATACAAATATATTCCATATACAACTATATTAGCTTAATTAATCAATGTCTAAATTTTAATTATTATAATAAATTCAATTCCAAGGATCCAAACGGGCCCTTAGATCAATCATACAATATATTCTATAACAAATCTATTTAAAAACATAAATATTGAAACTATTTTTATAAATTTAATCAAACATAATATTGATTCTCCTCTACTTGAAAATAGTTATGTGTGTTCTTTTCGGACATAAATCAACGTTTGGTCGTTTTTAACTCAGTTTAAAGTTTTGTTAAGTAATAAATATTGCATCACATGAACCATTTGAACTACTCCCCCTCATGAATACAAGGTGTTCAAGCAATTTTAGAATCAAATAAAGAGTCTACCAAATGACTAATTTGTCTCTCACTAATTATTTACTAGTTCGGTTGTTGGCTTATTTAATTTCCTAGTAAGGCGCACAAAGAGACATGCATGCATGTCATTGATTTGGATACCAGTTGCATGAGTCATTTTGGGCAAAAAGGTGTTTAAATAGAAGACATACAAGGATGGAATTTTAATTTCTAAAGACAGAAGCACAAATGAGATTGAGCAATCCATAATATCTTATATTTTTTAAACAAATTTTAAACTTACACATACCTTGTATTTTAGGACCGGAGAGTAGTTATTATTTTCTAATTGTTATATACCCCGTCCCAAATACATGACACTTTTGACTTTTGGACATTTTGTTTGACTGTTCATCTTATTTAAATTTTAAATTTGTTGTATAAATATTATTTATTTTTTATGATTTATTTTACCATTAGATATACTTTAATAACAATTTATATTATTTATTATTTATAGAAAAAACTGAATAAGACAAATGGTCAAACATGTATAATATCTAAAAGTAAAAAACGTTATCTATTTTGGACGCTCCAAGCCCAGAACCAATTGCGTATCGGCATGGGGCGGCCTCGGTTGCTGCTGCGGCCCAACAAAAGTAGGGACAGGCTCTCACAAAGGCCCAGCTAGCCCTCTCGACACCAGCCCATCTCGAAGACTCCAACACTAGCCGGCCTCGGTTGCTGTCGCGTCTCGCATCTCCCGGCGCCACATCCCGACTCCACGACTCGAGACTCAAGTCTCAGCGACTCCCCGTCCCCGCGCGAGCGCGACCACGCTCGACGGTGCCCCCGTCGGCCGTCGCCCCAGCCGGCGCACCGCATAATCCGCGACCCGCTCCTCCAGCTTCCTCCTCCTCAGTGGTGGCCGGCCGGCAGATCCACCGCCCGGCGGCCGCTTACCCCGGCGCCCCACACGCCCAGCCCGCAGCACCCCTGCTGCAGCCTGCAGTGCTGAGCGGCTGGGCGCTACCCGGCCAGTGCCCAGGTTGCGGCCTGGCTCCAGACCCCGGTGCCCAGGTCCGGCTCTTTTCCTTGTTTTTGCTTAGGTAAGCGAGTTGAACATATTAATTATGCTGAATTTGGTGGAAAGAAGTTCAGAAGCTTTTTTATTTCGCGTCCATGCTTAGCATGTATATCATTAAGAAGAAGGAGTTTTACAGTGAATAGCGCTGGTTGGACTTGAATGCGAGCGGCACTCCATAGCTTAGAAACATGTAGGTTGTGCTAATGTATCCTCATGTTCATTTGTTGCTTACTAGAATATTTATGCAATTATTGATAACACTTTCCGTGTGTATATATTAATTGTACGAATACTCAGAAAGATGGTTTTTTGTTTTTGAATTTAGCATCATTACATGTTCAAATGAACTTGTTCTCAGTTACTAGTGTCAGTATACATGTTTAAAAAGTCCCCAAAATTAGGTATGGTGTTAAGTCGGGACAAATTTTGCATAGATATGTAACATGGAAATTAGCCCCTTCCTTGCCTCAATCCTGGATCCGCCACTGCAGCATGAGAGACACTGACACAAAAATCTTGAAAGTGCTTTTTTGACCTTTGCATATCATGATTCACACAGCCTACTCAATTTTTTTTTTTGAATCACATAGCCTACTCAAGTTTAAGAGAACACAAACGCACTAATTGAGATGTTATATTCTTAACATGACACTGACTTCTCAACTTTTTAAGATCTCATTTTGCTGCGGCCTGGTGCCTGCAACGGTAACGAAAGAAAAGAAAAACTTGTGGGGTTCTTTGAGAATTTAGTTAGTTCTTCTGGTTTATAGTGATAGGCCCTGATAGCTCATGACGATGCAAGGGAAGAGAGCCTTCTCCATGAGTTTAACAAGGAATAGTTCATTCTTATAATTAGCTGATTGTTGGACATAACTGACAAGGTTAGGTCTACACCGAAAAAAATAAGGTGCTCAAAATTTGGCGAACTGTGCCTTGTTAATGGCATCCTATGGTCGACCATACCATATGAATAACACCTTATTATTAACTAGAGTTCTCTACTGACACTCTGTCATAGTCTTCGGGTGGCATTGACGTTTGAATAAATCTCATATCTCCTGCCTGCAATTTCCACAGAAGAAAAGTCTATATATGTACAGACAGAGAACTCACATTGCGGTTGCCTCAACATGACTACTACAGAGCTCACCAAAGCAATGAAAGGGAGCCTTAGCCACGAGTTTGAGACTGGACTCCCAGCTGCCGACGTGTGGGAGGTCTATGGAGGCCTCCTTGTTGGGGATCTGATTCCCCAATTGCTTCCTCAAGTGTTCTCAAAGGTTGAACTTGTAGAGGGAGATGGTGGCGTTGGAACAGTTCTGCTTGTCACTTTCCCGCCAGGTTAGAACCTGAAAACACGAGCTTCTTTGAGGTATGATGCGATCTCAGCTCCAAATAACTTTGCTTTCTTCTGATTCATGTTGGTAGGAACTCCTGGATCAGAAGCTTTCAAAGAAGAGTTCATCAAGGTCGATAATGAAAACTGCATCAAGGAGGTCCTAGTAACTGAAGGAAGCTTTCTCGATCATGGCTTTAAGAAATATTTGGTACGAACCGAGATTATAGGAAGAGAACAGAAGACAGCCACCATAAGATCAACTATTGAATATGAAGTTGATCCAGAGCATGCGAGCAACCCTCCTGTAGTCAGTACGAGTGGTTTAGCTACTATTGCTAAGGCCATCACAGAATATATCAAGCAGAAGAAGGGTCCTGAGTAAGCTCCCAAGAAAGGATGATATCGTGTATATGTTTGATTAGTGAAGATTGTATCTACCAATAAACAAATAGAATATGGTAATGAACAAATGGTTGCCATTTGACCCTTCCATTGCATTTTGTGGGATCTGCAGTCAAGCCAGCATGTATCCAGCATGACTGTAATGCTGATGTTAGATTAATATAAGTTCTTGTTCTGAAAAAAATAACAGCTAGCCCAAGTTTTTCTTGCAAGATGTTCAGGTCAAAGCCAATTAGTCCAAAATGGAAGCGTATGGTTGACAATGCCATATGGCTAAGTTTATTAAACTAGAGTTCTCTGCTGACACTCTTCTGACTTCTCACATTCCTCGGGTGTCGCAGACATTTCAAGATCGCGATTGGCTATAAAATCTCATTTTCCTCATGCCTGCAAGTGCAAGTTCCACAGAAGAGAAGTCTTTGTGTATACCTTAGCATGTCTACAGAGCTCAAAGCGATGAAAGGCAGCATTTGCCATGAGTTTGAGACCGGGCTCCCCGCTGCCGACGTGTGGGGGGGTCTATGGAACTCTCCTTTTTGGGAAATTGATGCCCTAACTGCTTCCTGAAGTGGTCTCAAATGTTGAACTTTTAGAGGGAGATGGCCGTGCTGGATCAGTCCTCCTTATTACCTTCCCTCCAGGTTAGAACCTGAAACTGAAAACATGTGCTTCTTTGAGGTACGATGATGCTGTCTCAGCTCCAAATAATTTTGCCTACTTTTCTTGTGATTCATGTTGCTAGGAACTCCTGGATCAGAAACTTTCAAAGAAAAGTTCATCAAGGTTGACAATGAAAACTACATCAAGGAGACAATAGTTACTGAAGGAGGCGTTCTAGATCATGGCTTTCAGAAATACATGGTTCGAATCGAGATTATGGGGAAAGAAGAGAAGACATCCATCATAAGATCAACAATGGAATACGAAGTCGATGATGAGCATGCAAACACCCCCCTGTGTTCAGTACCGATGGGTTAGCTACTATTGCTAAGGCCATCACAAAGTATATCAAGGAGCAGAAAGGTTCTGTGGAAGCTCCCAAGTAATTAAACTCTGGGAAGAAGAAAGGACCATGGCGTGAAGATATCTATTTGTTGGATTACTTCATGCCTTGTTCGGCACCTTTTCTCTCGTTCAGTTAGTTGACTGAGTGTGTCAGTCGCAATTAGAATATGAGATCGTGCACGTGTGGAGCGCGAGTTTGGCGCCCGACGTCGTGCAGCGTTCACGCGGGGTGTCCACGTTTGTTTCTCTCCCGTACATGTTGAATCGTGCACGTCTTGATATAGAGTGGGACGCAAGGAGTGAGTTTCCCATTCCAATTTATAAAAGTCGTTATGTGATTTTTAGCAGAGATTAAGGTAAAGTGTGGATTGGACTTGATCAAACACGGGGTTGGAAAAACTGACGAGTCAAAATCTTTGGCGTGAGTCTAACAGGACACACTGGCAGGTTGGATTGGGTCAGACTATTTTTTTCGAGTTTTTGTACTTTGGGTTGAGTTTTTTTGGGTCGGTCGAGTCAATGGGTCGAAAACCATGACCCAATCCTAACGTGATTTACTTGTGGGTCGTGTCACTCTGTCCTTCTGCCACTGAAGTTAATCACAAGCAACTTGTGGTTTTGCAGGTGACAATGATCACACCACCACAATTTTTTTTTAAAAAAAATACACGAAGAGCCTACGTACACCGGTAATTTCAAATTTATCTTTCCTGCGGAGCATCTCGTTGCCGATGCCAAGAAGCCATCACTGCAGCGCGTGATCCATTTCTTCATATCACACCGCTTGCTCGTGAGCCCAGCTCCCCTGCGTTGGCCACCTAGCCTCACTGGATTTGTACTGAAAGTAGAGCTCCCTGGGTGTGATCACTAGAGCAACTCTAGCAGAGCCCTTATTTGAGTCCTCATAGTTAAATATGAGGTCCTAGGACAAAAAAAACATACTCCAGCAGGGCCCCTAGGACCCCGAATTTTGTGTGGGTACCCAAATCCTTGCTCCAGACCCCATTCTTGTTGGGTCTAGGCCAAGCCCCCAAATCCTCATGTGCGTATCTCCAACCCCCGCGGCTTCCTCCTGACGGTTGCGACTCCTCCACCCCGTGACTTCCCTGGCAGCTCCACCTATTCCGCGGGCGACCGTGACTTCCCGGCGGGCGTGACTCCACGGCGGATTCCATCGACAGGGCAGACGCGAGCTCCGGCGGCTTCCCTCGCCGTGGCGGACGCGAGCTCCGGCGGCTTCCCACGGCGGGGCGGACGCGAGCTCCGGCGATGACCGTGACTTCCCTTCGCTGGGCAGACGCAAGCTCTGGCAGCGACCGCGGCTTTCCTCGACCCTCCACCGACTGCTGCACGGGTGCGGCTCCGGCCCTCCGCCGCACGCGAGCGGCCTCGGTCCTCCGGCGCATGGGCTCAGGCTGCTGCTACAGTCAAATCCATCTTCTGTCCTGTACAGAGGAAGAAGAAAGAGACAATGACGAGCGGGTCATATCTGTCATTCTCTACCAGAATAAATTTGTGGGGCCAAATTTAGGTGCTGCTGTTGGAGTAGAAGCATAAAACTGAGCCAACAAAAGTGGAGGGCAGCACCCAAATCAGATTTGGGGGCCTGATTTAGGTGCCACTGCTGAAGTTGCTCTTTGAGTGAGCTCCTCAAGCATGATCACCCTCCACCAGTTGACCTCCCTCTAGTTCTATAGGTGTGAAATGGGGTGGTGGATCTGCAACTCATCTCATGATAGCAAATGTTTTCCTAGAACTTAATTCTACACCTCCAGAAGACTCAAAGAGGAAGCCTGAGAAGGCGCAATGCCGGTCCTAGAATTTTAAGGCCCCTCTAATGATCTTGTCGTAACGGCCTCTCTTGATCATGTATAAAATCTTATAATATATATGCGCTAATTTTACTTGTAAAATGAAAGCAAATTCAATAACATATTTTTAATTTAATATGTCTGATAATTATCGAGAAACAATGTAGAATAAGCAATATATTTGTAGCTGTATGATAATTATCGAGGAACAATGCATATTAAAAAAGCACTATATTTGTTTTCTTTTCTCACCCATGATAAATATTTCTTAGGTAACATTCTAAAATTCTAACACATAAATTAGAAGAAAAATATAACTATATAGGTAGAAAGTACTAGAAGTCTGGAATACTATACAAATAATTAATTTGAATTAAAAATAAAAAGAAAAAAAATACCTTAGGCCTAAACAACTGATCGGTGATCGCAATTTATAAGAAGCCAAGAATCAAGATGTCGTCGTCGTGGAGCCCTGTCTGGTCGCCGTCCTCGTACGCCGTGTCCGTGTCTCCGGTAGTCTAGCTCTTCGTGGCGTCGCGGCTCGCTAGCTCCACGTGTGTAATGCGCACGTCGCGAACTCACAATCAGAGTGTGCTGTGTGCAGCGTGACTCCTTGCCTCCTCTCTACCTGAGGGCCGTGGGGAAAGGAAACTAGAAAAAAAATGCCGATGTTGTCTTTTTGGGCCGTCTGGCCAGTTCTACGTCTCTCTTCTCATTAGTTTGCTAATACCTAATAGACTATAGAACCTGAGGATTTGTATATCTGAACTTAGGCCCCTTCTCTATTTGGCCCTCGGCCGTCGCACCTCACCTTACTCCTAGGGCCGGCACTGAGAAGGCGAGTCTGTAACCCATGAGGATGCCAACGCTCTAGCTCAAGACGAAGGTGGTGACTATGTTGCTACATATATATAAATTCTGCCTTTGTCTCTTCCTCACTTATCTGTTAACAGGCTTGACGAGTAAAAAAAAAAAAATAGGCTGCAGATGTAGAGTGGCGATCGGTGAGAAGCACGAGTAGTTGGTGCTACAAGATGGTCAGTCAAACGTGGGCAAAGATGTACACACCACTCAGACAAACGAAACGAAACGAAACTTCCGCTTTTGCCAGCGCACCCGTAGCGTAGCGGCTACTAGCGCCTATTGCGACCGCGAGCCCGCCGAGCCGCGAAAGAACAGCCGGCCTCTTCCACATCGAGCGCGCCGAGATTCGTGTCCGCCGTGCCGGCACCAGACCAGAGAACACCCACCTCACTGCTGACGCGGGCACGACTCGTCGCCGCCGCCGGAAAGCGCGGACCAGTTCCTCCCGGGTCGAATCTCTCCACTGCGTAAAACACACCGCCTTAACGGCCGGCCCGCCACCGCGAGATGCCTCGGAAGTCGCGCAAGGCGAGGGGCGCGGCCGCGCACGCCCCCGTTTGTCTCACGGCCGGGCCGAGGCCTCCCCTGAAGGCCGCGGCCCCAAACCCTAGCCCCGCCGCCGAGCCACCCCAGGCCGGCGTTGCCGAGGCCGAGGGCCTTAAGGCACCTGACGCCGGGGCGTCCGCCGCCGCTGAGGCACTGGAGCGCCTCCATGTCGCCCCTGCTTCTGACGGTGATCCGCCATCGCCGTCGCCGTCGCCGCCGCCTTCCGAACCCGTGCACGAGGACCCCGCGCCGCCGGTCGAGGCGTCGTTTTCTGGGAGGCCTGCGGCGGGCGGGAGTTGGGAGGAGGAGGCTGTAAGGAAGCTGCACGAGCTGGCGGAGGTTGGTGGGGATGAGGTGGAGTTGACCGAGGAGGAGGTGCGCGCCAATGATCAGAGGCAGGAGGACGAGGTGATGCGATGTTCTCTCTGACTCTATGTGTGTTTGACTCGTTGCTGATATTTGTTGGAGAAGCATTACTTAGCATGTTTCAGTCTCATTGTTACGGATGATTAACTGAACTTCAAGAGTACCATGCTGCCTTTACTGATTATCGTGGCCAGTGTGTTATTTATGTGTGCCTCTGTTTAGTAACTGACCTAAACTTGTAGCCTCCTTCGTTCAGATGAACTGTCATATGCTTGTATTATATCTGGGCTTGATTAACTTTAGACCAATGTGAGCGAAGAAATGCACTTTACAAATTGTCCTTCTCATACATTTGAGTATTTTGGGTCTGTGCCCTTCACCAGCGAAAATACCACTTTACAAAGTGTCCCTATAATACATTTGCATTTCTGCCAATCTGGTAAATACTTTTTTTTTTATTTGTGCCGTTCACCAGCAAAAAGATTTTTTTCCAAGTAATACTGACTAGCTATAACAAGAAGCCAAATAGTACTACTACCTCCGTATGTCAATACTTGATGTTCCGACGCTGAGATTGTACTGCGGCAGGCTAACTCATTCCTCTGGTCAGGAATGTCAAGTATTCCTGACCGGTGACCGGAGGGAGTACTAGAAATCTAGAATAGTGTACTTAGGTGCTGCTAATTACAATTACAATTATCTTTGTTTTCAATAATTAAGCGTGTCTTAATCACTTGTTTTAGTCTGATAGAATGTAAATCCATTGCTCAGATCTGTGCCCTCGAAGCAATTTTTGGAGATGCTGTAGTGATTTTGGACAGAAAGGGAGGCCAGCGGTCTTTCCAGGTATATCCTTCATTTCAGTTTTCAGGTCATATTCTTTGTACTGTAGGAGCAAGGATGTAATTTGCTAGTGTAATTACAGGTTCTTGTGCATATTGAGATTCCAGATTCTATAGATGTATCAACAAAGCTCAATTATGGTGATGGAACATTAAATTATGGGGCAACACGTGATGATGATGATGATCTTTTCTACAAGTTCAGAGTTGAGCATTTGCCTCCAATCCTGCTAACATGTCTCCTGCCTACATCATACCCAAGTCACCGTCCTCCCGTTTTCACTATATCTACATATTGGCTTGATAAAGGGATGATTTCGTTGTTATGTCGCATGCTTGATATGCTTTGGGAAGAGCAACAAGGGATGGAAGTAACATATCAATGGGTGCAATGGCTCCAAAGTTCTTCCCTTTCTCACTTAGGGTTTGGTAATGAAGTAATTTTGAGCAAGAGTGATGTAACATGTGATGCAGATGGTGAAGATAAGCGTGCTTGTCCAGATAATGCTCCACCAGATGTTATAATTCCAAGGCTGATGAGATACAATGAAAATAAGCATCGTGAAGCTTTCTTACATGCTATCCATGAGTGCATGATTTGTTTCAGCGAGTGTCCTGGTAATTATTTCACCTTCGTTGTATCTGCAGTAATGTTTACGGTGTTGCGCGTAGAAGTTTTCTGCTGTGTAAGTTAACAATAAAGGTGTCTGTTGACCTATGGTTGTCCCGGCATAGTATGGACCTATTTGTCTATATATTATCATATTGCCACTCTACATGCAGTTTAGTCCCCAAACTTTCCTTTTTTATACAGTTCACTAGGTACTGGAGTTGTAAATTTTTACATGTTTTCCATTACAGGTAGAAATAGACCTTATTCTGATTTCTATGTTAAATAGTCTTGAAAAAAACAATTTTCCAGTTGTACTTGTTTGTATAACTTTAAAAGCCTAGCGAGGTCTTCATAACTGTCTTCAACTTGGATATGCTCTATATCCATTTCTTTTATCCTCATTATCTGAATTGATGCTGCTTCTATTTTTCTTCTAATCTAATTTGTTATCTCAACAGGTGTTGATTTCATCAAACTTCCGTGTCATCATTTCTTTTGCTGGAAATGCATGCAAACATACTGCAAAATGAATGTCAAGGAAGGAAATGTAGTGAAGTTGCTATGTCCTGATACGAAATGTGAAGGTGCTGTTCCTCCAAATGTATTGAAAAGGTTGCTTGGAGAGGACGAATATGAACGTTGGGAGGGATTACTGCTTCAGAGAACTCTTGATGCCATGAAAGACGTTGTCTACTGTCCAAGATGTCAAACTGCTTGCTTGGAGGACGTAGGTAATGAAGCAGTGTGTTCAAGTTGTTTGTTCAGCTTTTGCACCCTTTGTAGAAATCGCCGTCATATTGGAGAGCAATGTATGTCTCCAGAAGAAAGACTTATGATCTTGGAGGTAAGAGAACTTGATTCCCTGTATATTTAGCTTATGCCTAATGTATTATATTTAAGGCTTGATATGATCACAATATAGAAATTTTTAGTATACTAATATATGATAAGTAGAAACAGAAAATGGGAACTACTAGAAAACAGTTTACATATGCTCGAATCTAATGTATGGTTGTTCAGATGTTTATTGTTTTCTGTTCTGAGTGTCTTAAGCAGAAAACCATCATCAGGAAGGGTTACTGGTGGTGGTTACATTTTTTTTTACCATAGTGTCCACAATGATTTCTGGCTAGATGCCTATATATGTATCTTGTGACCAGCAAACAAGATATACCTGTAGCTGTCTTTTCTAGCACCTGTAGAGTGATTATACTAGACAGCATTTTGATATACTCTGATGGCAGCGATGCTTTAACTAATGCTTTCTGGAGAAAGGTTGATTAATTGAGGGGGCCAGTTTGGTTATGTTCTCTAGAATATTTTTGGGAATCTCAATTCTTAATTTCATTTTTATACAGAAACGCCAAGAATCTGGGAATGTGCAAGGAGATCAGATGAAAATTCTAGAGGAACTACGCAGCCTGAAGGAAATTATGAAGGATTCAAAACAGTGCCCAAAATGCAGGATGGCCATATCTAAGACAGAAGGATGCAATAAGATGCATTGCAGGAACTGTGGGGAGTACTTTTGCTATCAATGCAACCGTGCGATCACTGGATATGAGCATTTCAGGTGAGTTATCTTTCAGTAATAACCACATTCTGTTCTTTGCTATATACTGGCTTTGAAAAAAAAAAACCATTTTTGCATACAGGGGTTCTTGTGTGCTTTTCCCTCAAGAGGAACTAGACAGATGGGAAATGCAAATGAATCAAAGGGTCCGACGCCAAGTTGTTGCACATGTGCATGCTGAAATGCATGGGCAGAATGGTCATGCTCATCCTTGCCCTACATGTCGGCAACCGTCTCCAAAGGTAAGCAGCTACTTTGTTCAAAACGGAATTGAGGACTAGGGGACAAATCCAGCAGCTGTGTATCTTCGCATGAAGAGACCAATAGAATTTTGTTTCTGGCCATTTACGCTTTTAAAATTGTGTTGCTGTTCGGGACTTTTGCCCATATACGTTTTGGTCTGTGCTTTGACCTTTTAGTTGTGATTATTTCGTTTATGGGATTCCAATTATTATTATTAAATAATGAGATTAAATAACAATGAGCCATGTCTCGATTGAATTTCATAAGTGCTAGTATTACTTATTTGGATACTGTATATAAAGTAAAACCGTTGCTGATCTCTAGGTCACTTTATTTTATTTATCGTTTGAACTAAGGCAAGCCTGGGCTAAACCACAATAGTGGGTTTTCTTAGTGGACTCCTGACAGCTTGGAACTGTATTGTGATTTCCCCCAACCAGAATCAAACAAATGCCTTGGCATTACCTCTTATGTACTTGCTTTGGTAACTTTGGCAGATCGGAAACAACAACCACCTCTTCTGTTGGGCATGCCAGAAGCATTTTTGTGCCCTGTGCCATAAGACTGTCCAAAAGCCCGCACAGCATTATGGTCCCAAAGGATGCAAGCAACATTCGGCAGATCCCTGAACGAGGTTTTCCCATATGTGCATCAACACTGTGGTGCCAGTGCAATTTCCAAGTGTTTTGTGCAAGTACACATATATACTTATCCTGGGACGTACTTTACTCCTGGATTCCAATTTTTGGCTGCGAGCATGTTTTGAAGTTTCCATTGTCATTGTACCTACACTAACAGTTCTGCAGTTTACATTCGTGAACATCAACAGGAATTATTCATTCATTCAGTACCGGATGAATTGTTGAGATTACTCTGTTTATTGAAGATGCTATTGAACACCAAGTCAAAAACCAATAGAACCTTGCAGAATTCTGAGAGGGAAGATTATTTGTTGTACTGTTGGATTGATCTTGTGCCAATACAAAGAAAGTTATCATTGTTAGGTTACATGTTTTCTTATTTTAACTTGCGTTCCCGATAGTCGGGACGTGTGGTTCGAGTGACGGTTCTCATTGAAATATTGAATGTTCTTGCTGGTTGCCTGCATCTTCAATTTTTTCCCCTTAATTCAGTATTTTTTTTCCAGTAATGATCTCATGATCCATCTTTGTCTGCCGAAAGGAAAAAGGTTTGAAGAAGTCCGTCTGGCCTCCCGCAACTATTGTATGCCTTCCTCAATCGGAAAACTGGATTTTTCTCCCTAAACTTTTAAAACTGTCCTATTTACCTTTTTGAACAGTTTTAGTTGATGTGACGCCAGGTTAGCCAGGAGAAAGGTAAATCGAACTTTCCCGTAGATTTGAACAAACACTGGGTTGGGTTAGGTTTAGGTTACATCAGGAAAAAATGTCAGGTTAAAATTTTTGGCCCGAACTTGACCTGACACAATAGCGGGTCAAGTTAGATTATTCTCGGACTTTTCTAATTCAGAAATGCTATACAACACATATATGTTTTAGCAAAAAAAAAACACATGGATTTTTTTTTTCCCTCTCTCCCCGTCCCCCACTGAACCATGTCGGCAGGCGGCAGCCCAGGAGAAAATCCAGCGAGAGGCGTGTGTGATCGGTCACCCTCGATCGGGCTAGCGGCGGCGGCAGAGCGCCGGGGCCCATACGTACGTGGCCCAGCAGGAGCAAATACGGCGCGTGACACATGTGTTTTACTGATTTGTCCTTTTGTCCTTGCATAGAAAAAAATTATTTCTTGTGATCTTGTGATTTGTGATTGTCTGGAGATAGAAGAAGGCTGAAGATAGAAGAAGGCTGAAGGTAGAAGAAGATGAAGGCTAAGCACCGGATGGCGGCCAGCAATTTGCAGGGGCATACTTGGCGGAGCTCAGGTATGGCGAGGGCCATACCACGCCCTACTGAGTCCTCCGCCGCTGATTGCTACAAAGTTAAACAACATGATACATGTTGTTAATGTGCAATCAGAACCTAAATTATATTTTTTTAATTGGATCGCTGTGCATGTCTCGATTGTTAAGCAAGATGTTTCCGCTCAGGAAACTTGTTTGCAGTTTGCACAACAAGGTGCGCAATGATCCACGCTGCAGTTTGTAAGATGTCTTAGCCTGCACCCTTTGTTTCATATTTGGCCCAATTTTGTATTTTAGGAGACTATGTAAGATTTAAATAATTTTAAGCAAGCAACTAAATATAGAGCACAATTTTGAAAAAAAATACAAAACTGGTTTAGTATGTTTCTAAGCTAAAACAATTTTTAAGATTAAATTAGATTTTAGTACTTTTCAATGCATATTTTCTAGAATATATTTTTTAGAACTTATTTAAATGTTTTTTATTAAGTTTAATTGATCCTCTAAACTATCGCTAAAAAGTAAACCTAGTCATGGGCCACCCGACTTGACTTTCCAGTGTGTCGGGTCACGTTCAAGTCATGATTTTGACTTATGACCTGACTCAACATGAAAAAAATCCAAACCAAATTAGAAGAGTCTGTCTATCCAACAACTATGTGTTTTATGTAGTTTTAACACATGATTTTTTGCACCATAGAATTAAGATCCAACAACCTCCAGCCTTCTTCTACCTTCAGCCTTCTTCTACCTCCAGACAATCACAGGATCACAGATCCATAGATCACAAGAAATAATTTTTTTCTATGCAAGGACAAAAGGACAAATCGGTAAAACACATGTGTCACGCGCCGTATTTGCTCCTGCTGGGCCGCGTACGTATGGGCCACGGCGCTCTGCCGCCGCCGCTAGCCCGGTCGAGGGTGACCGATCACACACGCCTCTCGCTGGATTTTCTGCTAGGCTGCCGCCTGCCGACACGGTTCGGTGGGGGACGGGGAGAGAGGGACAAAAAAAATCCATGTGTTTTTTTTTGCGCTAAAACATATGTGTGTTGTATAGCATTTCTGAATTAATTAATATATCCATTCATATAAACACTGCTGGAGGCCTGGTGCTGCCGCCCTAGCCCTGCAAGCCGCAAGATGCTAAGATCACACGAAGTCACAAAACCTATTTAATTTTTTTTGTTCAGTTGTTTATTATTTAATTATTCTTTCTTCAACCGAGAGCACCGAGAATGAACCCTACTGCCTCTTGATTAATTGTTGTTTGTTCATCACTAAGTTTAGAAAGCTCAGTTTACGCTATCATCAAATCGCCATACCTTAAATATATTCCGTCCTCCGCCACTGGTAGCAATACTGTTTTGTCTAGGAGATATCACGGCGATGACATGTGCAGATTCACTGGACCATCATCAACATCTGCTGTGCAATTCTCGGACTCTCGAACCAACGTTTGCAACTTTGCTAGCAACATCCAGATGGACATGGCCATTTCCTCATTTATCATCGTCGTCGTAGGTCTACGACCGCACACTGAAAGCACATGCAAGCAGGACACAGTTTGGACGGTCTTAGTGGTGTTTGGTTGCTCTAAAATTCACGTTACATCGAATGTTTAGATACTAATAAGGAGTATTAAATATAGATTAATTATAAAACAAATTACATAGATGAAGGCTAATTTACGAGACGATTTTTTAAGCCTAATTAATCTATCATTAGCACATGTTTCTGTAGCGCCACATTGTCAAATCATGAATTAATTAGGCTTAAAAGATTCATCTCGTAAATTAAGTCGTAAGTTGTGCAATTAGTTTCATAATTAGTCCATATTTAATACTCTATGCATATGTCCAAATATTCGATGTGAAAGGAATTTTAGGAGCGACTATAGGAACCAAACAGGGCCTTAGGATACCTGAATTCATGCATTTTCTAGAAATATTGCTATATTACGGTGTCTAATGTGGAAAAATATAGAGCATGATTTTGGAAAAAAATGAAACTAATTTCATATCTTTCGAGTTAAACAAAATTTCTGATATTTTAATTGTATTTTAGTATTTTGTTAAATGCATATTTAAATATTTGGATAATTTTTTGATAGTGTAATTGACTCTGAATCATAAAAATCCAATTTACCTCTATGCACGTTAGTTAAAACTGTTTTTAAAACGACTTAGGAATGTAAATCGGACGGTTCAAAAGATTTGGAGGATCCAGAAATCCGGTTTTCAGATTGGGTGAGACAAATTGAAGGGACGTTAGATGTACTTTTCAAAAAAAAAAGGTTCTCCTGTCGAAGCCAATGCTTGTTCGAGTGTGGCAAACAAAATGGAACTCGTTGGATCAGACGGCCCATTTTCGGAAGGCCTAGTTCAAAGGCTCAAAGCGACCCAACGGATACATCGTGGACTCCGGGGAGGAACGGAACGGAGCTCCGTGCGTGTTACGGGCCAGGCCAGGCACGCTGTCATACATCAAACGGGCCGCCCAGACACGGCACGGCACTGGTACGACCAAGCACGGCACGGCGGCGCTGCCGTGCCGTGCTAGCATCTCGGCCTAGGCACGGCACTATAGGTTATTAGCCGTGCCGTGCCATGCCGCTGGGCACCGCAGCCCGTGCGTGCCCGTGCCGCTCTTGGCCCGACGCGGCAAGGCCATCGCGCACTGTCGCTTCCTTGCCGAGGCCTTCGCGTCGCACGTCGAGGCCGCTCACGCTCTCCAACTCATCAACACAGAGGCCATTATGCTGCCGCGCCGCCACACTGAGGTCGTCGTGCAGCTCCCCCACGTTGCTGCAGACCTCGCGTCGCCATCATCTTCCACTCCGCCGTCGACCTGGGGAGCAGAGGAGCCGCCGCTGGAGCTGCTGCGTCTTGCCGCCGCCGCTGGAGCCGCTGCAGTGAAGGAGGCCGTGAGGTTGCTGCGGGAGGGAATGGGGAACGGGGAGCGGCGGCCTGGGAGGGAAGATGCGGGGAGCGGCGGCCTAGAGCGAAGTCGCGTCCCGCGCGCATGACGGAGTCGGAGGAAGCGGCGGGGTGAGGAACTGAGGATGGGAACTCATGTGGGGGATTAGTTTTAAACCTAGGGTTTCATCCAACGGCTGATATTCATAAAAAAAAGATCCAACGATTGGAAATAGTTGGGCCGCATCGTGTCGGCCCAAAAACCGTGTCGTGCCCAGGCCGGCACTACGGGCCGGTGAGGCCAGGCACGGGCACGATGCCAGGCCAGTCCAGGCACGGGCACGAGGCAGGCCGTGCCGCACCGGGCCAGTGCCGTGCTTTTTCGGACCGGGCCGTGCTGGCCCAGCGGGCCTAGCCCATCTGGACATATATACACGCTGTTTCAGGCGCGGGTTCGCGAGGGTTTCAGCGCGGGCGCGCGGCAGATGGAGAGCGCGCATGGAGGAGAGCGAGGGCCCTCGCCGGAGGAGGAGGAGACCAAGGAGGTGCGATTGCTGCGCGAGATGATGCTCCGAACTCGTCGGGAGGGGGAGGAGGAGCCCTGGGTGCTGGATGAGCAGGAGCAGCTGCACGCCAACGACCAGCTCCAGCGAGACGAGGTACGATGTGCTGCAATCGACCCTCCAGAAAGCCTCGCTACTTGGGATCGTACTCCAAACTCCGAATCCATAGTTCGTTGTCACTCCTGGTACGCTTGATC